GGCAGCAGGACTCAGCAGCTCCTAGTTTCCATACTTTGCTGTCACTCCTTTCCATACTGTCTATTTAGATTCTTTCTAAAGAGTTTTTTGAGCATAGCCCCTTCTTTCATCCCTGTCCCTACCTTGGCAATCTTCTCACAACCACGTACCCTTTATCATTCCCCTAAAGTATGCCCTCTGTACCACAATACTTCCTGCAAGTTATTTTTCTCTATTTAAGTAGTACTTAAACTGATGGGTTGAGATGGTACAGAATGGAGCATGTGAAAGAATTTAGTTGTCAAGGGATTTTAATTCTTCAAGTGGCATAACCAAATCAAATATACCACACAACTGACTAGGTAGCTCTGCGTTGATTATTTCATCTTCTTTGCATGTCCAAAATATATAGTGAGACATCTCTCATACCTTATCCATGAGACGACTGTTTTTTGTGGACTTCTAGAAACTACTTATGTGCACAGTGAGCAGGATAAAATGTATTTATGTATTATCTGATGTAGTGCTCCTCTGATCATCTAATAGTATCAAAAAAGGGAAGCTAAGCTTCCTAGTATGCATCTTTATACTCAAGTCAGTATACAATAAAGTATAATATACTTTATAATATATTAACATCAAGGACTTTTTTTCCACTGTAGTAATTATTTCTGGACAGCATTAACACAGGGTTATTTAGTCTCTTAAAAATTATTCAGAAGGAATATTTCCTGGGAATGACAGTGACTGTAGGTAAGTATTACTGAAGACAGGATTTGTTCTTAGGGACTCTCAGTGATTTTTTTTCTGAAACCGTATTGAACTTCTTACTCTGGCATGCAGTTAACACATTTGTGTAGGTGGACCTAAGGGCAGACCTTCAGACTTTGAACTCACTGAGATTTTACTCTGAGCATCAGAACTAAAAATATCACAGTAAGCCCATCACATTTAATGCAGAGAAGTTCAGTTTAGTATTCCAGCCACCAATAACAATGGCAGGTTAGTTATCTTAGTGGGTTTTGTGCCTTTGCTGTAGATGCACATGTGTGCAAATCACAGATCCACATCCACCATGACCCATTTTTTCATTATTGTTTGGAACAGGCAAAAGATTATTTTGGAAATTATGACCTTGCTTTCCAGGTTTTTTTGGTAGGAATTTCTGGCTCCTGGGCTCACAAGAATTTAGCTATCAAGGAGAGTGGAGGAATAGATTATATTCATGGTCTTAAGCCTACACAACATTGAGAAGGTGACCAAGCTGCTCAGCAATAATAATGTCCCCTAAGCTTTTAAAAAAATTTCTTTACAGCATCTTACTCTCTTGTCTTTTCCTACACAATTGAACAGTTACACCATATACAATTAAAATGCAGAGTCTTGGGGAAAAGCTGCATTTCATGGGGGCTGGAGTGATTATATGAAAAAGTTCCTAAACTGAGGATTTTCAGGATGAAATAAGAATAGAAACTGTATATATTTATGAATATAAAATTAAAAGCAAATACATATTTTTATACTGAATGCTCCAATGACAGAGCTATGATTTTAACACTGCTACAACCTTTTTTTAATGCTACTTACCTATCAGGAGAACATTGTAAAATAAAAAAATATGCCTGCTGTGCCTTCTTGAAACTGTGTTAAGTCAGGCGCTCACAGCTAGAGTGAGCTTTATGTGTGAGAACAACTTGTTACTCCCCTACCCTCATCAGATCTGCATGTTGAGATCCAGCTCTATGTTACTGTCATCTTTTCATAACAAACAAGATTACTTATTGACATGGAGCTTTTCTTTTTCATTTATTCCTGATTGACACAGATTGCAGTAGAGCAGAAACAGGTCCATATCCTACTACGATGGGATCAAACATCTTCCTGGTGTTAAATGCTAGGTTAAATGAAAGATCTTGCTTCAGAACCTGTTGTGAATTAGAGAGACAGGTTCCTCTAGGCAATGGCTAAATTAGTCTTTTGCTTTGAATCACGGTCTGGAAGGGTCTTCCTCTCTTTTCCATTGTATGGACAGTTTTCTAGATGAATGAGTTGATGCTGTGCTTTGTGAGTCAAGTCCTGTGCTAAGAAGGTTAAGCTAAATTCCCCTGTGGAGTAACGTTACCAAAATTAGTGACATTCACTGATGGCGAGTATGGTTCAAACCTACTAGAAGATACTATTTGAATAAAACTGCATTGTAACCCCACTGCCCCTGCTTGAATCAGTTATAAGAAATCCCACTGACTTCACTGAGGATAGGATTTCATCTGAAGGGTCTTGATGTTTACATGAAATACAATGAAAATCATGTCAATTTAACAGATAGGCAAAGAAAATATCAGACTAGCATCAATAAATAACAAAACATTGAATAAAAATGGGACACGGTGCTCAGCTATCCCACTAAATTCAAGACCTCTCACAATTTACCAGGCAATGGGAGCAGCTTAAAAAATGCTTAACAGAGGAAAAGCAAACAAATTCCTATAAAATGGCATTTGGTTTCTTTACTAGGCTGGGCAGCCCATTTTTGAACTAGTATCTAATGAAGCTGTTCAGTCCAAACTGGAGTTGTGAAGCTTTTCAGACTTTCTTCACTGAAGCAGTGGCAATGGATGGAGAGTAGAGTTAGTCTGTAAGTGATCTGTCCAACATAAATGTAAATGTTAAGAAGACATTTTGATTGTTTACATTTTAAATTTATAAAATAAATACATATTTGATTGTTGTTGTATATATACAGTTTTGGCAGAAGTCACCTTAGCTTTCAGGTCTCAGTGAAGAGAACTGAAGAGAACTGTTCACAATTTGTTTGGTAGCAACAACAGATGCATGAATCCAAAAATAATCCTTATGGATTATTCGTACAAATACACGTTGCTGTCTTCCCAAGTATTCGTGGTGTTGAGACCCATGTATGTCACAGGGAACTAGGGTTCATATTGGCAGATTCTACTGAGACACCCAATTCAGAATATTTCTGCTTATGAGAAATGCACCAAACTGCTTTGCCTTTTTTTTCCCCACGGGAACATTTTCACATAGGTATCTACTTTGTCTCCTGGAAAATCATGCAGTAACTCTTTGATAGTAGGAGTTGAACTTTTTTGTATGCATCCCTTCATGGGTAGGGTAGGGAGGGCATGTAATTACCGAAACCGAGAGAGACAGCATTTTTCTTGTAACACATGGCTGTAAATATACAAAAATAGTCTAGATGGGAAGCTGTGTAACATAAGAGTGCTTTAAGCTCTCCTCTGAGGTTGAAGTTAGATAATTTTAAAATAGTCTTCAAAAGTTACTTTAAAGAATTTGCCAGGCTTACTCATTTTACATGCTGTCTTGGGTAACATCATTTATTCTATCAATCATCTCTGTTTAAATTGGTTGTATTTATAGAGAAGAATCCTCACTGAATCACTTAAAAAAAAAAAAAAACCCACAACAATTTTTGTGCAGTCCTCAGCATGTAGATCTCTGTAGGTGACAAGAGAGGTTTACACTTCAACTTTTTACCAAAATACTAGTAAATGCTTTTCATTTGCTTGCATATGAGAAGTAGTTGGTCAAGTAAGGAGGCCCCTGTTAAGCCAAAAGGATTAGGGGGTTTGCCTGCCTATTAATTTTTAATATTTATTGTTATCAAATGACATAAATTTTTATTATTTCCCTTCATGATTTGTATTATTAAGAGAACAGTACCACCACTCTGTTCCAGTCAGCTGTTCTCAATCTGAATTGTAGACTGTGTTCCGAACTGGAGCAAGCTGCTTGTTCTTGAGCAATTCTCAAAAGAACATGCTTTCTCCCTATGGGTCTCATTTTGGGAAGTTTTTTAAAGATACACCAGAACACCGTAAAATATATTCCCTTTGTTCTGCCTGCCAACACATGAAAATATGGTCTTCCTCTTTGAAGAGGGTGTTTTGATAATGGTCATTGTTCTTTGAGCAGTTAATACTACTCTAGCTTTCACAAGTTTTTCACCCTTACTTTCATGTATTGCTAGAAAAATGTAATTGTGTAAGAACATAACTTATCTACTGGGTAAGACAAAAGTCCTTTTAGCCCAATATCCTGTTTCTGATGAAGGCAAAAAGCAAATGCTTAGGAAGGAGTGTTAGACAAGCGTATTCTGTTACTTCCTTTGATAAACCCTTCCACCCTCCAGCAGCCTGTGGCTTAAACATGTCCTGAGAGAAAAATTGCATCACTATCTGTGTATTTAATAATCCTTGCTATACTTTTCTTCCATTACTTTGTCTGATTGCTTTCTTGTTCCACAGTATTTGTTTCTTCCATAATACTGTATGACAGTGATTTCCCCATTTAATTGCACGCTTTGTAAAAAACAATATTACAGATTCAAATGTAGAATTAAATTTTCATAGTGATAAATACAGTTAACACACCAGATTCTTGTCCTGGTCAGTCACACTTTAATGCAAGAGTGTTAGCTGGGAGGGATACAGTTAACTAAATGCTTATGTGTCTTTAGGTTTTAATTTTTTCTACCGTATCCAATGAGTAGACTTTGTTAAAAAACAAAAAAATTTAAAAAAACAAAACAAAAACCCCAGACCATTGCCTTCAGCTATATCTAACTTCTTTCTATTTAAAAGAATATTTAGCTGGGGTGAACCTTAAATTTCACCAAAATGAGCCTTTCGGCATTTGCGCATAACATCCTCAGCTGCTGTATAGTGGATATCAGGTCTTATAGCTTTACAGAGTTTAGGTCACAGTTGCTTAGGGTATTGTTCTCAGAGAGGTATTTAAACCAAAATACATATTTATTGCTGACATTTCTAGCTCAGGTTCATTCTAAAACTTCCAGGTAAATAGTTTTGCCTGGAGGCTTGTGAAGATGTGTGCAGGCTGAGCTGTCTCATAGACATGGAGGGCTTAAAGGTAATGTAAAGATACAGTAAAATAAAATTGATATCATTTGAAATGTTTATTTTCCAGAGCTCCTTTTGTAGGTTAAATGCACAGCAGTGACTTTTCTCTCTGTTATACAGAGGAGCCAATATACTGTTACACACCACACAACTTCACCCGCGATCAAGCCTTGTATGCCAGAGGATATTGTTGGACAGAATTAAAAGATGCCTTGCCAGGAGTTGATGCCAGCCACTGGCCCTCCTTGTTTGAGCATAAGTTCCTACCTTATGCGCTGCTGGCTTTTGCTGGGATAATGTACATTCCAGCTCTGGGCTGGGAATTTCTGGCCTCCACTCGACTGACTTCAGAGCTTAATTTTTTGCTTCAGGAGATTGATAACTGCTACCACCGTGCGGCTGAGGGGCGGGCACCAAAAATAGAGAAACAGATTCAGTCCAAAGGCCCAGGGATCACTGAGAGAGAGAAGAGAGAGATCATTGAGAATGCAGAGAAGGAAAAAAGCCCTGAACAGAACTTGTTTGAGAAATACCTGGAAAGAAGAGGACGAAGTAACTTTTTAGCTAAGCTTTATCTTGCGAGGCATTTGTTCATCATCTTTTTAAGCATCATACCAATTACATACTTATCCACCTACTATGCTACGCAGAAGCAAAATGAATTTACGTGTGCACTAGGAGAGCCTCCAGACAAAACGAGCAGCTCCAAATTGCACATCAGAGTGAACTGTAAACTGCCATCTGTCCAGCTCCAGCGGATTATTGCTGGTGTAGATATTGTTCTCCTCTGCTTCATGAACTTGATAATCCTCATCAACTTAATTCACCTCTTCATATTTCGCAAGTCCAACTTCATATTTGATAAACTGAACAAGGTTGGAATAAAGACCAAGAAACAGTGGCAGAAGTCCCAGTTTTGTGACATCAATATTTTGGCCATGTTTTGTAATGAAAATCGGGACCACATAAAATCATTGAACCGTCTGGATTTTATTACGAATGAAAGCGATCTGATGTATGACAACGTGGTGCGCCAGCTGCTTGCAGCGTTGGCCCAGTCCAACCATGATGCCACTCCAACCATGCGTGATTCAGGGATCCAAACGATAGACCCAAGCGTTGATCCAGCAGACATTGATGCTAATGAGCAGCTCATCATTAAGAGACCAAGGAAGAAGATGAAATGGATCCCAACTACCAATCCCCTTCCTCAGCCATTCAAGGAACAGTTAGCCATTATGAAGGTTGAAAACCATAAACCTGAAAAACCGAAGCCTGTGCGGAGAAAAACAGCAACGGACAGCCTTATAGCTCCTTTGTTAGAGTCTGCTGCAAAAACCTCACAGCAATCGTCCGCTCATAAAACCGAGCCAAACGCCATCCCAAGCACAAGCAGTGAAAAAAAACACACACGACACTTTTCCTTGGATGTTCATCCGTATATACTTAGTAGCAAAAAACCCAAGCCAGAGATTCAAGCCATCCCCTCGATGCCTACATCAAAAAGCCAAGAGGGTGGATTTTTAAACCAGGAAGAGAATGTTGTAGTACACGTTACCTCCTCTCTCAAAGGTACAGTATGCCATAATGCCCGTACCACCTCCATAGACCATAATTTGCATAGCGATCTTCAGAAACTCAAAGCTTATCTGAAATGTTTGACCTACCTTGCTAGATTTTGGGATAGCTAATAATCTTAGGGCTTGCAGGCCTCAGAAATAGGGGTTCTCTTTCTTTAGCAGCTATATGGAGGATAAGGATTATTACAGGTGGAGCTGTACAAAACAGCCTGCAGGCTGTTGGTGCAGAGAGTTTTTCAAACGTAAGCAGATTTTCTCAATTACAAATGTGGTCGTGCCTTGCCAAGGAAATGAGGAGAGTTTGGCCTCCTTGATACCCTCCCTGCTCCACCAGCACCTGGCACGTTTCAAACCTGCCATATTTTCAAGTCATATGGAAGCTGCCATGGTAGATGACTAGCAACAGCCACTTAGGAGTGTGTGAGAAACTGTGCTAATGGCAGTTAAAGCTGCCTGTAGAAAAAATTCTCTTTACCAGTTCCTAGGGGTTGGCATGTGTTTGTCACCTATGAAATCACAACTCAGATCATTTATATTGTTATTCACAGAAGAGACATTTGAAATTGCCCTTTGTGTCATGTGAACCAGAGAGGATGGATGGTCTGAAGTGTGGGTGCTGGTTGGGGATTCAGGAATTCTGCCATTCCCTTCTTGTGTGGCCTCACAGGAGATTAAGCTCTTTCTGTGCCTCAGTTCCCTGTGTGTGTCTTGGAAATCCTCTCCCTTTCTTACCTCAAAGGAGTGTTTCAAATATATCAATAATTGTTAGGTGCTAGAGTGATGGGGAAAGCCACGTGAGCGCTAAGAACAGTGATAGATCAGTAGATAGACTGATAGACAGCTATCTTCTTGTTTATTTTTGTAAGCTACTGAGATAAGAAAGAAGCACTATGCACTTGAAGTTACAGAAAGATTTGTACTTACTTAAAGCAATGGCTCTCATCTCATTACAAGCTAAGACCTCCCTCTGGGCCTCGACAGACTGACAGCTACCGTCACCCCACTGCCCAGCAAAGAAGTGATTTGAGGTATAAAAGTTTCTGTCACTTCCAAATCCTTATGCTCCTTAGAGCCCTCCAACTCCCCGATGTGCATGTGAGCTATTCTACAGCATTCCTTATCCAGTCACCTGCTCTGATTTCAACTCCTCAAAACTACTGGGGTTTTCTAATCTCAATTACCTTCATCTAAATTAGTGCTTGAATATTTTAAGGGCAAAAAATAATTACTGTAGTTTTGGGGCTCTGTTACTCCCCGTTCCCATTAAAAACTTTCAGCTTTTCTTTTGAGTTACACCAACACTGCAGTCCATCAGGTAAGGTAGACTTCTCTGGAAAGAGACATCAGTTAATGTCAAATTGCTGAGTTCTCTCTAAAGGCAAGTGGCTTACAATGTGTAACCACTATTTTTTCCCATTGAAAATATCAGTGTTTTTGTATTCCTTCCTGTGGATTTCAACATTCATAACGTTTGTCAAAACATTAAATCATAACATTTATAACACACCTGCCAGACTGTAGAGGAGAATAAAAGATACTTTTGAGTTGTTTTCTGTTCATTTTACGAAAACACCATTCACATAAGGAAGCATGAGCATGCGTAAAAAATAGCAAGATTTACAAAACCCATTTGTTGTTTGTCCTATTTCCCTGAGCTTAAAATCCTGTTGTTTTGAAACAGTCCTGTTAGATTTCTGAAAGGGTCCCAAGAAAATTCGGGTTTGGGTCCACTCCTGCTCCCACTGAAATCAGTGCCAAAACTGCCAGTGTTTTTTATTGGTTCAGAACACTCCTCTCTGATGGACTGGAAGGGTGAAAGACTACCTGTCTTTTAACTGGCTGTTTTGTTTTCTTTTAGACACCTCTCATCCTGCAAATGAGATCCTATACTCATCTGAGACATGCAGAACTGTGCCTGCTGCTGGGGCTTTTGTCACATGTAACCACAACCATATAGCCACGACTGCTGCTGCAACGAGTATGACTTTGAACCAAGTCAAGCCGGACCCCACGCCTGCACTGAACTGCAACCCAGCCCACCCATTGCTGCACATCAACACGCTGTACGAGGATCACGAGGAGGACGTTTCAAACATAATGGACAATGGTATTCACTCCCCGACTGACACTGGGGAAATTCTCTCCATCCCTACCCCAAAGCAGATAAGGTTGGCAACATTTGATGAACCAATGGCAATCGTGAGCTCGGTGGAGTACTGAAGATCCCGGGCTGCAGAGCTGTGCCCTCCTGGCCAGGCCCAAGGCCGCTGCAGTGCCAGCCGTGGTCCTCCCAACGATGCAATTCACTGCATGAGCATGGAGAGTTTTCACACAGACTACAGCTTTTGGTAATAACACCAAACGGTTTTTCAGGATCACATCATGAGCCCTGTCAGTCATTTGCGAACTAGAATAAAGAAAATCTGGTGGAATTAGACCTTTAACGCCAAGACAACCATTAGCTCTAGCTCTAAACTATAGCTTCCTGATTTCAGTGGGGATTAGCACAATTTACGAACATTAAGAGTCTGATGGCATGCCACAGTAATTTTAGTGTTTAAATCCTTTGCATTCAGAATCACTGATTAAAGTTAAAACAACATGGACGTGAGGTATACTTTCTTAATGGCAGCAGTTAAATAAGAGTTTTTTTCTAAGCAGAGAGGGTTTTTTTTCAATTCAGGATTATGAAAATGTTATATGCAAGCAAAATTTTTGTTTGTTTGTTTCTTTAGCTCACTAATGTTGGGCTTGATGGAGACTTAGCTGAAAGGGCCTTACTACCACCAGCATTTAAGTGCAAAAAGATTGATACACTCAATCTCTTGCATTTATAAATGAAAATACCTGAGGTATGCACTGCCCTTTAACAAGCTTATATGTTTGATGGAAGATGATGAAATGAAGAGTTTATTTTTTTAAATATATTTTACCATGGGAAAAATTACTTTAATAACTTTTCAAACCAGGTGTTGCTTTTAACAAAATGTGTAGAACAGAGTCATTGTAGCTGCTTATTTTTTCATAGTGTATTTATGAACCAGGTTAGAAACTTTCATGGGTGCTTCACTGATACAAAAAATCTTAACGAAGGTCATTACAAAATACCTTACAAAAGATGAAACCAGCAAAATTGTTTTCAAATAACACACGGTTAAAGAAGTCTATGAATTTAGGTCTGCAGAGTCACCTAGTCCTTGATTCAGCAAACATTTAAGGCCATGGATGGCACTGAACAACTCACATGTCTAAAGCTAAGCACACACTGAAATGGCTTTGCTGGATCTGGGCTCTAGTGCAGGCAGACAATAATCCTGCAGTATGTGCTATCACTCCGATTCAATATTTGCCTTTCTTGGCTCAAAGCACATCTTCATGCCCATCTTCCTATAACTACGGTATGTGTGATTTAATAGAAAACTCTAGTATAACTAAAACATCTATTAAAAGTGTATCATGCAATAACCATTCTCAGCAAAATTATAGTGAAACAAAAAGTGACTGTGTTAAAATAATATTCCTAGCTGCATTCAGAATTATGGACTATGTGTGTTTGCTTCAAAATTATGTATAATGGTAGAAAAAATATGCAGCACAAATATGGGACTGAAATCTTGAATTTATTTTTAATTTATTACCTCAGACATGGATATATGAAACCAATATTTAATGAAAATAGCACTGAAAATAAATACCTATTATTCTGAATAGTTTAATGTGTACTACTTCCTAGCTTAGTTACGTACAGGTGGGATTTTATTATAAGCAGTGGGCGGGACATATAAAACCACCATTCCTCACTGCGTTACTTCAGTTCTGCCCAACCTTTTTGGCCTGAACAGGCAAATACCAAAAAGGCAGCAAGGCACAGGACACGTGCCGCAGACCGGGGAGGGGTGCCGGGGACAGCTGAAGGACCTGGCTGTAACACCCCGAGGTCTCGGCGTGGAGCTGACGAGGGAGATGGAGCTCGGTCCAGGGCAGCTGGGAGATGCTGGCTGCAATGGCTCCTGCTGGCTTGTCTCCTTCCAGCCCTGGGCATGTCAGCATTCCCCACAGCCCGCGAGCCGGGATGAGCAGGGATGAGCAGGGATTTGAGCAGTTTATACACCGCCAGTGGCTGCAGGGCCGTAGGCTGGTCACCCCTCTACTAACTCGCTCAAACACAAGCTGCAAGGTGCTCGGTATCACCGGCTGCGTGACCGGTAAACTGGTGTGACTTTTTACATAACAAATCTGCACCTGCGTCATCAGGGCCTCGTTCTGCCCCAGGTATGGGAGGAAGCTTTCTGCACCGAGGCAGCCGTGGCATGGAGCATCACCCATGACGGCACTGCAAGCAGGGTCTCTGCCCGGCCTGATGGTAGCTGCCGTCCGTTCAGGGTCACCTGAAAGCAACGGCACATCGAGATTCCAGACGTGAGCCGAATGCCCCACTACATCCCAGTCACTGAAATATCGCAGTACTGTAGTTAGAATTAATTTTTTGGGGCAAATTAAAACCATTATAGGTCAGTACTTCTTAAACATCAATAAATAAATAGAAAAAAAGATGGAAAATTGCTGTAAGAAAATCAGGAACCTGTTAATAGAAGCAGAGTGAAAGAATAGGACCCTGAGGCCAGAGTTAAAGAGCTGCAACTCCCTTATGTAACTGTACTTCCACCTGCCAGAAGGCAGCACGGTGATTTCCTCAGGGTTGCAGCAGCTCAGCTGACAATGTTATAAATGCATGAGGAAATCTTTGGGGTTGCCTGTTCACTCTCCACTTGGTATCACACATTGAGCAAAATATCAACCATACTGGCCTGAGCGACAGTGATACGCCAATATTCATATATATCGGTATCAGGCAAAACAGACCATGTCTGAAAAACTAAGGATCCAAACTTTGTGCAGTACATTGAAAACAGCAATATTCAGTAACTAGAGGGATTTTCATCACACAGAAAATGCAGGGCTGGGTTCTCGGGCGGCACAGGTACCGATCTAATGAGGGTGGTGTTTCCGAGGAAGGGTTGCCCGTTAAGGTGCACATGTCCTCTTCATTCAAGAGCAGGACTCAAGTCTGTGTGGACACACTGTCATTCCCCATGATATCTCTGGTTTCTACTGATTTAGGATCTGCTGGTGCCCTTGTAGAAAGCAACAGCAGACTTGACTGGACCAAGTTAAAGAAAAACATAGAGCTTTCCTCATCCTCAGGACAAGGTGGGGTGAGAGAACAGCTGCTTTACTCATCTTCACTTGTGTTGCGGGACTGTTGCACCATCCTATTTCACAAGCTGGAGGCTGCAGATATGGGCACCCAGCTGTGGGTGCTAACACACTAACTATTTGCTAAGGGCAGGGTGGTGGCCCAGACATGGTATTTCACTGACCAAGCAAGTAGAGAGCGAGTGCAGCTTAGTCTCGGCTGCTGTGGGGTAGATAGATAGCACTGATGAAGGCACATAGCAAGCACTGTCTTGCTGAACTGAAAGGAAAATGTTAGTGCCCTACTCACTGAGAAACTTACCTGAGCTGAATGACCAAAGATGAGAAAGATGAGACACATTCTCATTTTTAAATGTCTCTTTAGTCTGACTCACATGAGCATCTCCATCTGCCTAGTCTCTGCCTCATGGTTTCAGCTTCACAGATCAGATGACTCATATTCTCCAAGGTTGCTTTCCCATTTACTTCTCTGGGAAAAGGACCGCACGTTGAGAGCACAGAACCCCCTTCCTTCAGGGTACTCTTATTCAGAGTACGTTTGACAACCAAACAGGAAAGTCAAGTGTGTCAGAAGTCTCTTGAGCTCTATTTAGGCTGTCCAAACCGAGCAGGAGATCAGCCATTTCTGTCTCACAGCCAGCTAGAGAAGTCCTTCTGTTGGGATTTTTTTAGTGCAGTAATGCTTTTTAGTATTGATGTTACTAATATTTAGCTGCACTGGGTAAATGTACGCATACACACACACAGATTTATATATAGGTACATATGTAGTATACCTACAAATTCTATATAGACATGGAAATATGTATCTGCTGCATAGAAATGTTCATCTTCTCTACTTTGCTTTGTAAACAGATTATACTTAGCCATTTCTTTTCTCTTCGTTTTCCATTATCATTCATTAGGCCCAGCCTAGCAACGTTATGCATCTCTCTGACTTCACTGGGATTTTCTGATGCTGGGCGTGCTGGTGAGGACGCTCTGTTCCCTGCAGAGTTAGGAGTGGTGCGTAGTTTATATTTTGATATTGACTGAGTCAGGCCCTGATCTTGGGAGCCCTGTTCCGTGCTCCTTGGCACCAAAACACAGAATATATCTCTGTGCTGGGGATGCGGGCAGTACAGCTGAACAGCTATTTTGCACATCCTTTGTACCTTTGTATCTCCAGAGCTGGCTCCCAAAGCCAGGGTTGGACCCCAAGGCAGGCAAAGCGGAGTTGAAGTTCCGCTCGCTTGTCCAACCTTGTTACCAGCCTCCAGGTTATCTGCCAGTTAAAAGCACCGCAGGGATAGTGCTCACAGGCTCTGTGTCTGCAAGAGAGGGATGCTGCACTGAGGGTATTTCATCTCTAGCTTTGAGAAAGCTTGTCACTGCTCTTTCAGGCTTGCATCAAAAGGAGGACTAATGAAGAGCTAAGTCTGAGACCATGAGCCCAGGCTCCTAAAGCCACTAACTCAGTAAAAACCAAAGACAGCCTTAAGCACCCTTGACCTAGCACTGTGTAAGGGAAAATTCTTCCCTTCATATCATAGTCATACAAGAGTATTAATAGGAACAGTGAAAAGCCAGCTTTAACCTTTCAGTCAGAAGGTTCAAGAAGCTCTAGAAGCGCTCATCATCATTGTCCCCACCATACAGATGGAGACACTGAAGCACAGGAAAGTGAAACAATTTGTCCCAAAGCTACTTAGGCCGTGTCTAAACTATCTAAACTAGAGCTGAGAATATGCCATAGGTAGGGCACTGCCCTACCTGCCAGCGGAAGCAAGTGAAGCTGGTTTTGGGTGCTGCAGGAAAGTTCTCTGAATTCTTCTCATAGCTTTCTTTTTCTTTTTTTTTTTTTTTTAATTCTCCCAGAAACATTGTGGAATATCGATCAAGGAATGTTTTGCTTTAAAGAAACAATGGGTTTTCTGATTAAAATAATTCTGCTAAAATACAAGTCACAGAGCACACTGGGAGTTTTAAACAGGACAATTATTTTTCAGACACCTTCCAATATTTTCTGGCTTTGAATGAGGAATATTCCACTCTGTCTCTAAACACACTGTAAATAATGGGAAAGCATTCTATGTACATTATTTACAGGCAAGAATTTTTCAGCTTTTGCTATTCTCTGAACAGTTTTAAAGCATTTCTTAGCTGTTTTTACAAACAGAAAAATTTATGGATAACTGCTGCACCAATAAGGATCTCAGGGCTCTGCAGGTCAGATTCAAGGAAATGCTGGCCTGGCAATCCTGTTGTCCTCAGTGGTTATTGATGCCTCTGACTTAATGCTTTACTGACTTGCTATTTGTTCACAGAATGAATTTGCCTGGAGTCAGAGCCAGCTTAAGCTGAAAGAAGAAGTTGTTGGGCCTCCTGCTGGGCTCGAGAGCAAAGTTTACTGACTCTTTTGGTTAACTAGAAATAATTTTCCTTTATATATCCAGGGAGTGCACAGAATACAATAAATCCCTGGAAGAGGAATGCACGATTCACAAACAAAACTTGATGTCTTGCATGAAATGAGGCAGAAACCACCCATATCCTCCACTGCAGATGCCTGCCTGTAAAGAAAAACTACATGCTTAAAAGATTATACCAGTTTTGGGTCTTAGAGCTTTTATACTATGTCAATAAAGCCACGGCAGTTTTCCACAGTTATTGCTCTGGGATAACAAGCCTGTGCCTGGCCCCTGGGGCGCACAGCAGAGGAGACAGATGGGTACAGTTTGTTGCTGAGGGAAGGAGCTTCTGTGAGCAGTTTGGGAACTTCTTTTGCAAAGTGATGGAGGTATTCATCCATGCAAACTTGGAAAAACGATGTGCCAGAATGGGGGCTAAGAAAACTCTGTACTATTTGTCCTCTATGTACAGTCCTGCGGACTTCACATTGACAGATTTATCCTGTTTTTGGAAAGGCCTAAACAATGTAAAGGAGTGAATAGAAGTACAGAAGAAATTAATAGCCTGGAGAAGAGAAGGCTCCGAGGAGACCTTATTGCAGCATTTCAATACTTAAAGAGGGCTTATAAGAAAGATGGAGACAGAATTTTAATAGGGCCTGTAGTGATGGGACAAGGGGTAATGGTTTTAAACTAAAAGAGGGTAGGTTCATACTAGATATAAGTAAGAAATAGTTCAAAACAGCAGAGCTGAGAGCCTGAGAAACTAGGTATCCCAGCAGAGCAAAGGGATGCTTCAGATGACAAGAGCGGCAGAAGAGTCAAAGGAGCTTCTGGGAGAAGCTTTAAATATGAGAATGACTCCAAGGCAGTGGCAGAGAATATTGTAACGCCTGGGAAGAAGACATTGAGTGAGGGGCCACACAGGTGATGGAGGTACTGAGGCATCTCTCTTACGAGGAAAAGCTGAGAGAGCTGGGACAGTGCATACAGCCTTTCAGCTCGGCAGGCGGTGGCTGTAAAGGGACAGCATTCAACACACCTCAGGTCTCTCCATCATGCAGACCCTTGACTCCACGCTCCCTAGCAGCCTGG